AAAAAAAAAAAAAAAGTAATAAATAGAAAGAAAACAACACAAAACAAAAATAGGCCAGGCTCGGTGGCCCACGCCTATAATCCTAGCACTTTGGGGGGCCAAAGTGGATAGATCACATGATTAGAAGTTTAAGACCAGCCTGGCCAAGATGGTGAAACCTCATCTCTACTAAAAATACAAAAGAATTAGCCAGGCATGGTGGCAGGCGCTTTAATCCCAGCTACTGGGGAGGCTGACGCAGAGAATGGCTTAAATCTGGGAGGCGGAGGTTGCAGTGAGCTGAGATGCCGCCACTACACTCCAGCCTAGGTGACAGAGAGAGCCTCCGTCTCAAAAAAAGAAAACCAAAATAGAGAGATAATCCTTGTTCAAGGATTGGAAGACTCAAAGATACCAAATCTCCCTAAATTCATCTACAGACTGAAAGCAACTCTAATCATGATTTCCAGCAGGCTCCTGAAAAGGTTTTTCGCCCTTTTTTGTTAGACATCTACAAGTTCACAGTAAAACATATAGAGAAATGTTAAGAACCCAGAACAGTTAAAACAACTTTAAAAAGCAGCAGTTGAATGACTGCTACTCCAGGAGTTACCACCAAGGCGTAAAAGCGAGGCTGGTGAGATACTGGCATCAGGACTGACCTGGATCAGAACAGAGCCCAGGAACAGAACTATATTCCTGCAGTCACGTGATTTCCAACAAAGGTTCCTAAGGTATTCAATGGGGAATAAAATGCCTTTTTTTCTTTTTTGAGACAGAGTCTCGCTCTATTGCCCAGCCTGGAGTGCAGTGCCACAATCTTGGCTCACTGCAACCTCTGCCTCCCGGATTCAAGCGATTCTCCTGCCTCAGCCCCCGAGTAGCTGGGATTACAGGCATGTGCCACAACTCCCGGCTAATTTTTGTATTTTTTAGTAGAGACAGGATTTCACCATGTTGGCAAAGCTGGTCTCGAACTCCTTACCTCAAGTGATCCACCTGCTTCAGCCTCCCAAAGTGCTGTGATTACAGACGTGAGCTGCCACGCCCAGCCTAAAGCCTTTGCAACAGATGACGCTGAGATAGATCAGTATCTATGTGGGGGAAATGGATGAGCCTCAACACCCACCTCATGCTACTCTAGAGAGTTATTTCAGGGCAGATCACAGGACTAATTGTAAAACCATCTAATTTTTAGAGAAAAATGTAAGAAAATCTTTGTTACTGAAAATAAACAAGGTATCACAGATACTTCCTATATCACAGAAAGTAACAATCATAAAAGAAAAACATAAAAAAATAGGTTTTATCAAAACTCAAAGCTTTTACTCATTAACAAACACTTAAGAAGGCAGCCAGGCTGGCCACTACTGGGAGGGTAATTGTAACACACACACCTGAAAGGGACTGCTCCAGAATGCAAACCTCTGCGACTCACTAACAAAAATACAACCCATTACAAACAGCCGACGCTGTGAACACATACTTCGGGGACAATGTACATATGACCAATAAGCTCACAAAAAGTGCTCAATACCAGCAGTCATCAGAGAAATGAGAATTAAAACCACAAGATACCACACATCCACCAGAATGGCTAAAAACAAAGACTGATGCCATCAGGCTGATAAGAACCAAAACGACCAGAACTCCCTGACATTTCCAGCACAAGTGGAACGGGCCACTGCTTTGGGAAGACAGCTGAGCAATCCTTGTTAAATAACACCCACACCCACCCTAGGGTGCAGCAGTTCCACTGTAGATAGCCATTTACCCAAGAGAAACCAACATGTAGCCACACAAAGACTCACATGGACATGCCCATAGCAGCTTTATTCACGGCTGATCCAAGGGCTGTGTCTTCCCAAGAATGGAAACAGCCCAGGTGTCCATCAGCGAAAAACAGAACCACAAACTGTGGGATCGTCATCTCATGGAACACTTCTCAGCACGAAGCAGCAATGAACAAAAACAGGCAGCATATGTCAATCTGAAAAGCTCAGTGAGTGAGATTTGCTCAAATCTGGGTGACTGCGTTTAGCAGACGCTCCAGGACAGGCAGATCTGATACGGTAGGAAAATCAGAGCAGCCTCACCTCTGGGGGTGACGGCAGGGGAGCCAAGTGGTAAAGGCAGGGCAGGACCAGGGTGTTGGTCACACGGTGTGCACACTTGTAAGAATGTGTGCCCTCGGGCCGGGCGCGGTATCTCACGCCTGTAATCAGAGCACTTTGGGAGGCAGAGGCAGGTGGATCACAAGGTCAGGAGTTCCAGACCAGCCTGACCAACATGGTGAAACCCCATGTCTACGAAAAATCCAAAAAAAAAATTACCTGGGCATGGTGACGCATGCCTGTAGTCTCCGCTACTAAGGAGGCTGAAGCAGGAGAATCGTCTGAACCCAAGTGGAGGCTGCAGTGAGCCGAAATTGCCCCACGGCACTCCAGCCTGGGCAACAGAACAAGACTCTATCTCAAAAAAAAAAACAAAAAACAAGAGCGTGTGCCCTCGCTGGGGGTAAGTTATGCCTGCGTGTGCCCTCGCTGGGGGTAAGTTATGCCTAAGAAATGACCCTGGACCTCAACTTGATCATATGCATGCTGGAGTATTTACAGGCAGGATGTCTGCACTTCCCTGTGAAATACATCAAAAAAGACAACGGAGAGATGGCAAAGGGTACAGCTATGTAAACAGACATGTGACGAAGCAAGTACAGCAAAATCTTAACGGAAGGACCTAGGAGGAGTACATAAGTCTTCCCTGGAAAATTCTTTCAACTTAGCTGTGTCTGAAAGTTTTCAAATTATAAAGGATTTCTCAAAACCCTACAATGAGATACCATTTTGTGCCTCTCAGGTTCACAAAAATGTAAAGGTTGGTGAGGTGTGAAATGGGAATGAAGCAACAGGAACACTAGGCTGCCGAGGACTGAGCCTGCGCCAGCCACCTCTACAGAAAACACACCCCACGAGCAGAATGGCCCGGTGTGCCTGCAGAACATCACGCCCCACGAGCAGAACGCCCCGGTGTGCACGTGGGAAATCACGCCCCACGAACGGCCCAGTGTGCACGTGGAAAATCACGCCCCACGAACGGCCCAGTGTGCACGTGGAAAATCACGCCCCACGAGCAGAACGGCCCGGTGTGCATGTGGAAAATCACACCCCACGAGCAGAAAGGCCCGGTGTGCACGTGGAAAATCACGCCCCACGAGCAGAACGCCCCGGTGTGCACGTGGAAAATCACGCCCCACGAGCAGAACACCCCGGTGTACACGTGGAAAATCACGCCCCACGAGCAGAATGCCCAGTGTGCATGTGGAAAATCACGCCCCACGAGCAGAATGCCCCGGTGTGCATGTGGAAAATCACACCCCACGAGCAGAACGCCCTGGTGTGCACGTGGAAAATCATGCCCCACGAGCAGAATGCCCGGTGTGCATGTGGAAAATCACACCCCACGAGCAGAATGCCCGGTGTGCATGTGGAAAATCACGCCCCACGAGCAGAA